TTAGAATGCAAGAATGGCTGATACATGTTAAATTTACAGGATTTTTTCCCCCTGAAAACATATTAAGTTAAAGAGATAAATAAGGTTCCTATGTAGTCTTGCTACTATTTTGAAGAAATTTATTTTTTTCTTTTTTTTTTTGGATGGAAAGAAAAATGTCCACCAGCTCTCTGAAATAACTATCAGCTTGACAGTGGCATTGATGAACTTACTTTGTTGTTTTGTAGCACATTAGTGTATATTTGAGGACACCCTGTATTTTCCCACACGTGATATACTACAATATGATAATAAAAAGAACAAGCTGGGTGTAGTGGCTGAGGCAGGAGGTTTCCAAGTTCGATGTCAGCCTCAGCCATTTAGCAAGACCTTGTCTCAAAAAATAAAAAGGGCTGGGGATGCCAGGGTGGTGCATGCCTGTAATCCCAGGGGTTTTGAGGCTGAGGCAGGAGGATTGTGAGTTCAAAGCCAGCCTCAGCAACTAGGAGGCATTAAGCAACTCAGTGAGACCCTGTCTCTAAATAAAATACAAAATAGGGCTGGGGATGTGGCTCAGTGTTTGAGTGCCCTTGAGTTCAATCCTCAGTACCCCCCATCCCCCCATCCCCCCAAAACAGCTGGGGATATGGTTTGGTGGTTAAGCACCTCTGGGTTCAATCCCTGGTACCAATAAAAAAAAATTCTTATAATGCTTCTACAGAAAATAATTTTAAGTGGGGCTGGGGTTGTGGCTCAGTGGTAGAGCACTCACCTGGCACGTGTAAGGCACTGGGTTCGATCCTCAGCACTACATAAAAATAAATAAATAATGGTGTTGTGTCCATCTACAACTAAAAATTAAAAAAAATAATTTTAAGGATAATATATGTCTACTATGTTATGTTTCTGTAATTAAAGTAATACCATTTAAAGATGAAGAGGGAGTGCTTCATTAATATTTCTCTAGTTATTCTCTTTTATTCAAGAAAATAGAAGAAAATCCAGTCTGGAGATACCAGATTCCCTCCTACTGCCACCAAATGTGGCATAGGGTGAAGGCAAAATCCATCTTCCTGCCCCTGCCCTTTTTAAAGATGGCTTGTCATTCAGTGACAGAATCAAAACCTGGGCACAGGACTGGGTTGAATCATTATCCCTTCCAAATTTGTCTACCTGGAACCTATAAATGTTACCCTATGGAAACAGTTTTTGTTTTTGTTTTTTGCAGATGTTTTTAAGTTAAAATTAGTTTATAATGGATTATGATGGGCCCAAAATTCAATTTGTCCATTATTTCTATATGAAGAGGTAAATTCAGACACAGAGGGAAAATAGCTATGTGAAGACAGGGAAAGGGATTGGAGTTTTACATCCATCTAGTCAGCAATGCCAAAGACTGAAGGCAATCACCAGAAGTTCAAAGATGTTAAGGAAAGATTCTCTCCTCCACGCTTTAGAGAGAATATAGCCATGTAGACATCTTGATTTTAGGCTCTTGGTCTCCAGAACTGTCAGGTAAGTAATTAGTACTTGTTGTTTTGTTTCAGCAGTTTGTGGTAATTTAGCACAGCAGCCCTAGAAAAGGAACCCAGACATCAATCAAGCTCCCCCTAAAGCCTATCTGTAGCAAGTGGGCAGCCTTTCCTTAGTCTGATCTGCCTTCTCAACCAATAGAGAGATCCCACTGCCCTTCATTCCTCCTCCTTAGCTGCCCTGACATTAACTCTGTACTAAGGAGACCAGAATCTGTTTCCCCAATAGCCTTTAAGATTAGACCTTTCTTATTGAAAGCAATTTCTTTCTCACACTTCGAATCAATGTTTAAGCCATACAAATATCCCTCCCAGAAGAGTAGCAGTTAGTGCACTGAAACCTGATTGGCCAGAGAACTGTTGCTGGTGGGGGGAAACAGAAAAGGCAAGGAAAGACTCTTATACTTACCAAGGCAATGAACATCTCAACAGCAATGGCAACTATACATTCTCTGTATTTCATAAGCCCTGTGACTCTTGCATACACTTAGAAGGGGAAAATAATGACTGATCTCAACCAAATATGAAGGGGAAAAAAAGGTTAGTAATTGTAATACATATGAAGTAGGATTTATGACAGTGCTATGGTTGGGATATGTTTTGAGAGTGTACCCGCGTCTTCACATGTTGAAATTTAATCCTCATTGTGATGTATCCATTAAGAAGGTAGAAACCTAACATATGGTATCTAGAGGTAGAGCTTTTGGGAGGTGATTAGGATCAGATAAACTCATCAGGGTATGATTGTGTCCTGACGGTTTTTGCTGTCAGGCCTTTTGCTAAAGGCCTCTGTTTGGGCCCCAGTGTGGCAATGTGGGAGATGGTAAAATCTTTAGGTGGTGAGGCTGTGTGGGAGGTTTTTAGGTCATTGGGGGAATGCCCGTGAAGGGGATTGTGGGCCCCTGGCCCCTTCCTCTTTTGCTTCCTGGCCAAGAGATGAATGGTTTTTGCTCCACAATGTGTTGCTGTTGTGATGTGATGCGTTGCCATAAGCCCAAAGCAAACAATCAGTAATGAACTGGGATCTCCAAAACTGAGCCAAAATAAGCTTTTCCTCTTTGTAAGTTAATTATCTTGGGTATTTCATTATGGTGACTGAAAGCTAATATAACTTTATAAGAAAAGGGAGAAGCTGGGCACATGCCTGTAATCCAACTGACTCAGGAGGTTGATCAGGAGGATTGCAAGTTTGAGGCCAGCCTCAGCGATTCATTGAGACCCTGTTTCAATTAAAAAAGAAAAGGAAAAAAAAAAAAAAAACTAGCAAAAGGCTGGGGATGTAGCTGAATGGTAAAGTGCTCCTGGGGTCAATCCTCAGTAACAAATAAATAAATAAAAAGAAGCATATCATCAGGTGTAGCCCCTTAACCTTGGATCTCCAGAACAAACTTCTTTAAAAAGTTAACTCTTTTCTGTCTGGTGGCACATGCTTAGAGTTCCAGCTACTCAGGAGGCTGAGGCAAGAGGACTGATTGAGCCCAGAAGGTCATCCTGGGTAATACAGCAAGACCCCAAGTCTAAAAAGAAAAAAAAAAAAAACTTAGCCTGCCTCAGATATTTCATCCTAGTAATGGAAAACAGACTAATCCAAGAGGATGAAATGTTTCAGTTGGATCATTTCATCTTGATAAATGGCAAAATCCTCTATAGTTTTAGAAACTTGGAGTTAAATCCCATCACTGACCAACTATAACACTACAGAAATTATCCCCCTAGAACCTGTTTTCTTATCAGTAAAATGAGGATGAAACATACCTTCCTCATAGTGCAGCAATGAGGTAACTTAATTCTGGGATTCAATAAATGTTAGCTCTCATGTTCATTCCATTTTTCTTTTTTTAAAAAGTTATTTTTTATTGTTATTTTTAGGTATACATTATAGTAGAGTGAATTTTGGCATATTATACATACATGGAGTATAACTTATTCTAATTAGGATCCCATTCCTGTGGTTGTACATGATTTGAAGTTTCACTGGTCATGTATTCATATATGAACATAGGAAAGTTCTGTCCAACTCAGTCTACTGTCTTTCCTATTCCCATCCTTTCATTTCCCTTTGTCTAATCCAATGAACTTCTATTTTCCCTCCTTCCATTCCACTTATTTTCTAAGAAATGTTCCCAAACCAATATTCTTTCCTTAAGCCCCAATGCTTTCTTTCCCTGTGCATGTGATCAAGTTTCCTACTTGATATGGAAATGTTATTATTTTTAATATAATGAGGCTACGAATCTCTTAGCTTCTCAACTGATTTTTTTTTTTGGATACTGGGGATTGAATTCAGGGGCACTTGACCACTGAGCCATATCCCCAGCAAAATTTTGTATTATATTTAGAGCTAGGGACTCACTGTGGTGCTTATTGCCTTGCTAAATTGCTGAGGCTGGCTTTGAACTATTGATTCTCCTGCCTATGCCTCCTGAGCTGCTGGAATTACAGGTGAGCACCACTGCGACTGGCTCACCCGACTTTTTTTCATGTGTGTATAATCATACTCTCCCCATCCACCTTCTGAAGAAGACCTTTAACATGTGAAGCTACATGTGCCTGGGTCCTCTTGTTGTTCCATAATTTAGTCCTAGTATTTCGTTAGGGTTCACTTTTTTTTTCTTTTCACCAGCTGTTTTCAATCAATATATGAAAAATTCCTTTCTTCTATTAAAAATAAAAAAAATTCCCCAAACCTATTTACCATGATAGCTTCAATCCTATCTTCCTCTCTCCTTTATTAGGTGAGCTCCTATCTTTTCCCATATACAGTTTATTTATTTAAAAGGAAACATCTCATAGATCAAAATTCAGAGAGGCATGCATGTAGTAAAATTATATTGCCTACCACTGCATTTCAAGTATACAGTTCTCTTTCAATGAGCAGTTTCTTGAAACTTTTTAGAGATAAATATATACATATACAGTGTACTTTTTTTTTTATAAAATGTTGCATATTATGTATACACTTCTATTCTTTTTTTCCTGCTTAAATGTATATTTGAGTTTTTTTCATACCAGTACATAAATAATTTCCTCATTGTTCATGTCTACAGAAAATCAGATAGCAAGATGGGATTAGACATGTAGGAGATTACTGGAGGAAATGCCTGTGAGGGAAGATGGAAAGGGAGCTGGGGGAACCATCAGATTATGATGTAGATTTGATCTCTGTGAAGAAGAGAGGGAAGGAAAGAGATTGGGCAGGAAGTTACTCAGACTGTAGCACAATTTCAGGAAAGTTTCAGCCAGGGGATACAGGGAATCTTCAAGCAAAGTTCATCAGAATCCTTTTTTCTTACAGGAATGGGCCTGTTTTAACATCCTTGTTATGCTCAGTCATGCTAGGAACAATCATTAGAAGGGTGGCCTTAGTACAAATGCAGTGGTAGATTCTCTTACAGAAGGAAATCTTATTTCACAGTTTTTACATTACTTTTAAGGTTACATAATAAACAATCCACTGATGAGTATGTTATGATTTATTTACCCAGTGCCCTCCTGAATTTTTTTTTTTTTTTGTGTGTGTGTGTGTGCTGGGGATTGAACTCAGGGCTGATGAACATTTTTGTTGTTTCCAGTCCTTTCCTATTACAAACAGCATGGTGTCATCTTGCACATGTTAATTTTTACAAGTTGGGTGCCTGGAAGAAAAAAAACAGGTGCCCAGTGAAGTGGACTCTAAGACAGATATTAACATGTTGTCAGTTAGGAAGTGTTCTTGTGATCAATATTTGTTAGAAGGGAAAGGAAGAAAGCAAGCAGGATTGGAGAAATTGAGAAGCTGATGCACATATATTCTTTCTTTATTTTTTTTAAAAATATCTTTCTTTATTTATTTAATGTGGGACTGAGGATCGAACCCAGGGCTTTGCACGCACTAGACAAGTGCTCTACCTCTGAGCCACAACCCCAGCCCCCCTCTTTCTTTATTTTTTAATGTGATTTTTTTTAGTTGTAGATGGACACAATACCTTTATTTTATTTTAATTAAAAAAATTTTTTTGTAGTTGTAGATGGACAGCATCTTTATTTTGTTTATTTTTATGTGGTGCTGAGGATCAAACCGAACCCAGTGCCTCACACGTGCAAGGCAAGCACTCTGCGACTTAGCCCCAGCCCCAGCCCTGCAATGTATTCTTTATTTTTTCATTTTTTTTAGTTGTAGTTGGACACAATACCTTTATTTTATTTATTTATTTTTATGTGGTGCTGATGATCGAACCCAGCGCCTTGCATGTGCTGGTTGAGCACTCTACCACTGAGCCACAACCCAGCTCCTACAATATATTCTTAATGATGGCCTCGGTTTACCTCCAAGGAGTTCAGAATATCCAATGTGGTGTGAGAGATCTGAATTTTTATATCTCTGCATTGATAGTCATTGGATGTAGGGTTACTTTAGGAAAACGACAAGATCCTAGACCAATACAATTCCAGAAGAGTGCTGACAGTTTAGGGCTATAGTAGCAGTCTGAGCAAGCAGTTGAGGAATAGATTTTTTTTTTTTTGGTACTAGAGATTGAATCCCAGGGTGCTTAACCACAGAGCCATTTCCCCAGCCCTATCTATCTATCTATCTATCTATCTATCTATCTATCTATATTTTGAGACACAGTCTTGCTAAGTTGTTTAGGGCTTTCCTTAGTTACTGAGGCTGGCCTTGAATTGGAATCCTCTTGCTGTAGCCTCCCAAGTTGCTGGGATTATAGTCATGAGATTACGGATGTACAACACAACTCCTGGCAGATACTTTTGTTCTAAAGAGCTCCTGGGATTTTCATAACATCCAAAACAAGGAGTATGACTGTAGGGTAAATCCTAGGCAGTACTGCTGAGTCTTAGAATACATACCTTTTTTTTTAATTTTAAATTTTTGTTGTAGATGGACACAATACCTTTATTTTATTTATTTCTTTTTTTATGTGGTGCTGAGGATCGAACCCAGTGCCTCACACGTGTAAGGCAAATGTTCTGCCACTGAGCCGCAACCCCAGCCCCCAACATATACCTTTGAAATTAATTTTTTTGAGGGGCCTGGGGATGTGGCTCAAGCGGTAGCGTGCTCACCTGGCATGCGTGCGGCCCGGGTTCGATCCTCAGCACCACATACAAACAAAGATGTTATGTCCACCTAAAAAATAAATGAATAAATATTTAAAAAAAAAAAAAAGAAATTTATTTTTTTGAGTACCAGAGATTCAACCCAGGGGTGCTCAAATGCTGAGCCACATCCACAGTCCTTTTTATGTTTTATTTTGAGACAGGGTCTTGCTAAATTGCCAAGGGACTTGCTAAGTTGCTGAGGCTGGCCTTGAACTTGTGATCCTCTTGCCTCAGCCTCTGAAGTTGCTTGGATTACAGGTGTGTACCATCTCACTGGGCTCTGATTTCTTTCCTGATGCCCTATGGACACTTCAAAGTCAATGTGCCCCACCAAATTCATCATGTTTATCTCAAAAAATTGCTCTTATTCAGTATTCCTTAGTTTTCCAAAGTTTGTACCATACTGCTGAAGTAAAAAACCTTGAAGCCATCTTGGATTCTTCCCTCTTCCTTAACACTACTTTTAATTAATCATCAAGTTCTGTTGAATTTTATTTCTAAATAATTCCAATATCTGACTTTTCTCATAACCACCACTGCTATTCCATAGTTCATATCTCTTTCTTTAACCAGTATTAATGTGATAGCTTTTTACTCTTATTAGCTGCTAAGTGGGAAAGCCATCTTACAAAGAACCAGCCAAGGTCACCAGGCCACTCTGACACAATCTTTGAGGCACTTAGAGAAAATTTGGCTCATTGTAAATATTAAAGTGAGCATACCCAGAAGCATTTACAACCACCATTTTTCTTTTCTTTTTATCATACTGAGAATTGAACACAAGGGGTGTTCTACCACTGAGCTACATCCCCAGCAGTTCCCCCATTCCTTTTTAAAGTTGAGACAGGGTCTTGCTGAATTTCCCAGGCTGACCTTGAATTTGCGATCCTCCTGCCTACAGTCTCCTGAGTAGTTGGGAATATATACAAGTACTGCAGCAACTGGCCACATATTTTCTTTTTTTGAAAAATTTGTAGTTGTGTATGGACAGCATGCCTTTGTTTATTTTTATGTGGTGCCAAGACTCAAACTCAGTGCCTTACACGTTAGGCAAGCACTCTGCCACTGAGCTATAGCCCAGTCCCACACTTTTCCTTTTTTTTCTTTGCATCTTTTCTTTTTAAACATGTGCTCAATGATCTTCAGCTGAGCACGTCCAGAAATGGGTCTGTCATGGCTCCTTTTTAAAACTACAACCTTAAACTAAGCATGCCCAGAAATTTACACTTTAAACTGAGCATGCACAGATATGTGCCTGCCTCTGCATGTACTTTTCTGAATGAACATGGGATAATCTCCCTGAATAAAATCCTCATGCTGCTGTCCCTCAGGGAGATTATAACTTTGCAACAACCCCTGTGCTCTCTTTATTTTTCTCCATTCTTTTATATCCTGGTTGTATTTTTGGCTTTGTACTCACTAAGATGCAAACCCACTGGATTCAGTTACATTCTTACCTTCCTCTAACCTATTCTGAATACTGTTGTCAGAAGGATTTTTTTTTGAACAAGCAAAACTGGTTATATTTCTCCTCAGCATAAAATTCTTTCCCATTGCAAATAGAATGATGAAATCTAAAACTGCTACAATAACTCTTCATAGTTGACCTTTGCTCATCTGTCTAGTCTTTTCTTATCTATTCCTTTTCCTTGACTTAATCTGTAATATTTAGACAGGGTGCATTTCTCAGAATATATATTATAATGCGTATACACATACATACACACACACACACACACACTCACTGTTCTACTTGAAAGTTTCCTGCTCTCTCCCCCACTGGCCCTTCAAGTAAGATCCTATTACTTGTGAATTTACCTCTTCATGAAATCTACTCTGACTCACCTAGAACTCAACCTGTCAAATTTTATTTTTTTATTCACATAGCTCTTTTTAAATATTTATTTTTTAGTTTTAGGTGGACATAATATTATTTTATTTTTATGTGGTGATGAGGATCAAACCCAGTGCCTCACACATGCCAGGCAAGCATGTTACCACTTGAGCCACATCCCCAGCCCCACACAGCTTATTTTTAACTTGCTTGCATGTTTATTTAGTAGTTTTAGTTGTCTGATGGAAAAAGACCATTTTTTTTCCTGCTATCTCCAGCACATATCATCATCCCTATCAAGACAGCAACTCAGATTCTTGACTGAAGATAACTTCAAGATTTGAGGTTTCTCAGGAAGGGGCTGTTGTAGTTAAAAATCCTGACTCCTTCATTCTAGTTTCCAAGATGCTTTGAAAACCTATCAGGTAGTTAATTTTTTTTAAATGATAATTTATTTCCCTATCATTTCAGGTAGAATTGACCATACTGCCTTCATTCTCCTGATTGTTGCATATGCCCTATCTTAGCACCAATCACGTTTAAGTCTGTATCTTAAGCATCTGAGATAATAGGCATGCCATTGAAAGGGAAAATGACTTCCTTCTCCCCTTCTAAGTTGTTTGGTCTGTGAATTAAATTGACCTGGTTAACAGGAAAACAACCCAGGCTGGCCCTGATCTCCTGGGTTCAAGAGATTCTCCTGTTGCAGCTTCCCAAGTCGCTGAGACTACAGGCTGTCAGCCATGCCTGTGCAAAAGAACAAATTTAATTATATATGGAGTTCCACCAAATGAGACTCAAGGGCTAGATGAGTGAAGCTTATGTAATATCCTGACTTACAGAAAGGAATCGGGACTTGGGAGTTTTGGGGGATAGTGGAGGCAAATTAAAGAAAGATGAGGGGAGGAAGTGAAAGGTGAATAAAAGTTGTCTTGTTTTGAAGATAGTCTTTTGGGTGACAAAAGTTGCCTAGGAATAGCTGTCTTCCTGATACAGATACCTTTATTAATGAAGGTTTCTTTTATAGATGTATATTTCTCTTTACAAAAGGGTTGTTTTGTATTTTAGGCAGTGGAAGGGAGCTCACGAGCTTTTCTTGTGTTGGTTGGTTCTCAAGGTTTTTAGCTCAAAATAATCAATATGCCAGAGGGGCATATTTCAGCAAGGCACAATCTGGTTTCCTAAAGTCATGTTATGGTGTAGTATATCCTGAGACCCAACACTATAGTGAGTCAATGCTCACCCTGATTAAAGGCACTTTCTGAAACATTCCAGGATAATTTCCCAATTATGAATAGACGGCAAAAAAATCTTCACAAAAAATTTTAAGGCAAAATGATTGCTTTAAAAACGCTGTATCTTCCAGACACTTTAATTGTCCTTAGACAGATGGCTAAACCTTGGCTACGGGAAACGCATATGCTAGGAGAAAACCCACTAAAACGCTAAGAAAAGGATGATTGGCTGCTGGGGCTCAGAAATTACATGTTCCCCTCAGACAAACACAAGAACTAGGAAACCGCTGAACATTCAGGTTTTGAAATACGATTTCTGCACCGCAAAGAAAAAATATTAACCTATCAGGAAGAACCCAACAATTCCAATTACCAATCAACAGCGGGAAAGAAGCCAAAGCCTAAGGATACCCACGCACCAAAGAGGACGTCATTCTTTAGTCTTCACCAATGAGTGGCTGGTTGGGGGCGGAGCAATAGGCGGACCAACTGCAGTAGAAAATAAACAATCCTCAGCACATTCTCCTAACCGTAGTGTCTGCTTCTCAAGCCACTGGAGCAAACTCCCAGGCAAGGCAGTTAGATGCTTTCCACTCTCCTCCTCGCTTAGAACGGTTAGAACAGGAATATCTTCTTTTCAGTAGAGCCAGGGCGTTCTTTCAATCCGCTCCCACGGGCTCGCAAAAACCTCTCAACTTTTCCCTTTCTACCTTTACAGGAACTGGGAATCCAGCGCTACCTGGGGTAGGGGCGGCGCCAGTGCGCAGGCGTGCATGCCTTGTGGGGGCGAGGCTGTGGAAGCCCAAGGAAACCTGGGAGCTGTATTTCTCCAGCCGGAGAAAATTCCACCGCCCCTAAGGCCTCGGGGACTACATTTCCCAGGAGCCTCCGCGATCTTGGGGCGGGTGGGCTGGTTCGTTAATGAGTTCGAGGAAGCCGCAGCGCGGCCCACCAGGTTCCAAAACAAGGAAATGAAGGGGGGAGGCGGGACTGGGGGTGCCTGCGGGAGCCGCCGCCGCCGAGGAGAAGGAGGAGGTGGAGGAGGAGGAGGAGGAGGTGGTGGTGGCTGCCGCGGCCGCCAAGGAGTCCCTTGCTGAACGCGGACCGCGGAGTGGCGGGCGGCGCGCGCGCGCGTGCCCGAGAGGTGGCTGTTAGAGAAGTGGAGCGGCGGTCGCGGGGGGAGGAGGAGGAGGGACTGAGCGGCGGCGGCCCCCGCGTCCCGGTGCCTCTATGGGGGAAGCAGACAATGGATTATGATTTCAAGGCGAAGCTGGCGGCGGAGCGGGAGCGGGTGGAGGATTTGTTTGAGTATGAAGGGTGCAAAGTGGGACGCGGCACCTACGGGCACGTCTACAAGGCGAGGCGGAAAGATGGGTAAGAGCACGGGCAGGGGGAGTGGGCTCGCCCTGGTGCTCGCCCTGAATGCGGCTGGGCGGGATGGGTGGGTCGGAGCTCTGTCGGGCCGAGCCAGAGGGGCGAGGCTGAGGTGGTCGCGGGGCCGAGTCCAGGGGCTGACTCTGAGGGACACCCTTCTGCCCGCCCCCGCGCTGCCCGTCGCGCCCCTCGAACTCCCGCAGCGCAGCCCAGTCCGGGGCGTCGGTCCCGTCGCGGTGGACGCCCACCGCTTGTTGAGAACTGGCTGCGGGACATGAGTTGGGACCTCCGTTGGAGGTGGAGTTTGTGGGGTCTGGTCTCTTGGGGAGACGCCGAGGGCTCTGCTGATGAGTTGCCGCTCTGGCCCTGGGGTAGTGACGGTCGTCGTGGAACTTCCAATCGGCTGAGCGCTTCCCGGGGGCGGCGGTTTGAAACCTCGCCCGGGAGTCCGTCGGGCGGACGAGCGCTGGGGTCCTAGTGGGCCCTCGGGTCTGACTCCTGGGCACCACCAGCCCCGGCCCCTGAGCACAGTTTCTCCGGTTCCTGTCGTATACCTGGCTACTTCTCGAGCCCTCTTCTGCCCCCAATTTCGCAGTCTGACGTTTAGAATTCTGCATCTTCCTCCGCAAGGTGGGACCTCCTTTTTTTTTTTTTTTTTGCCAGCGTTAACTTTAGAGTTCTCTTAGGCTTTGATGCCTTCCTCCTCCTTTCCCCCTTGGGTGTCTTAGGTATTTTGAGGTCCTACACTCCTCTACCAATGATTGCGTGCTAAGGTTTATCGAGGACCTTGATTATCAACGGAATACGAGTGACAGAGCTGGGCCTGAACCTTTGTTTTCCTGGGAGTTGAGGGAGAACTGTAGGAAACCCCTTGGGAAGCTTCTTCTGATCGTTGTCTTAGAAGCTAAAACAAGCTAGATAATAATATTCGTCCTGGAGGGCGAATGCTCTCCTACAGCCGGACAGGTGGAACCAGCTCCCTGCTTGGGAAGTCTAGGTTTAAACCAACTGTCACCTCTGTCCCATTCTGGCAGGAATTCTCCTCCCCCAGGGTTGGGAAGCTCTGGAAAATCTGCTAGTCTCTCTTAGACTCTTAAGACTGTCCGATTTGTAGGGAAGAGAGAGTTTTTAGAATTGTAACAGAACGTTTTTGAATAAACGAATTTTTAGCCACAATGACATCAGTAAGATCTGGAGTGCTACTTATCTTTCTGCATGCACTATTGTAATTCGATATGGTTGCTTTGAAAACTCTGGGATCAAAGTATATAGGTGGTGTGTGAACTAATTTCATAAAAGGAACAACAAAATACAACCTTATAGGTGTACTATAAAGTACCATGGAAATTACAAAGTATTATTTGAACTTAAAGGATTATTATTCTTGCATATAATTTTTTTTTCTCTTGTATTAACTACACAGGCCAGTACCACTCAGTTGTTTTTCATAAGTCATTTAATTACCAGGTGTTCCAGAATGCACATCACCTAATGTAAGATACTATAATTGACTTGTACTTTGTTTTTGGAATATCCACTCTACTTGTTATACTGGTGTTTCTGTGGGAATCTTATTAGATATTTGGGGAAAGTGCATCCATTTTTACTGTTTGGACATTGTCCTAATAATGTAATTCAGAGGTGTTTTTTTTTTCCCCCTCATATTCCTTAGGTTAACTTTGTAATGTGCTTTATATTGAATTTTTTAAATGTATTTTTTGTTAAAGTAGCTCTCTTTCAGCCGGCAACTTTTGAGAAAAATTTAAAAAATTCTGCTTCTGATTTGCATTTGAATAGTATGGGCTTACAACAAAACCCAATGTAATTCCTGCTTCTGTTTGTTATTTTTGAATATTTCTCCCTCTAATAAAATTCTTGATTCGAATACACCTCCTTCTTGAGTGAAATTTGTTAATTAGAATTAATAAAGTTTCTTTTGTATAAGATTGTGAACCTTGAAACCAGATTTTTTTTTTTTTAACCACCATTACAATCTGAAAGCACTAGTTCAATAAAAATCCTTCCCTCCTTTGGATCTAGGGTCTGGTTGAGATTTGTCACTTTATAGTAAATACCCACATCTTTTGTGGGTTAGTAGGAGGATTAGTTTTATGTTCTTTGACAATCAGCAATTTTCGAGAACAAAGTTTTTCTTGATGGTTCTAAACTGAGACACAGATTTACATAGTAAGGAATTTTACGAGGCAGGGGTTGTGGCTTTGTGGTAGAGCACTTGCCTAGCAAGTGTGAGGTACTGGGTTTGAGTCTCAGTACCACATATAAATAAATAAGTAAAGGTTTATCAACAACTAATACAATTTTTTTTTTAAAAAAAGAACTTTACGCTCTGATCATGGCAAATTACAGTTTAGCTCTTCCCAGATTTTGTTTTTGTTTGCTCAGAAAAATATTGGTATTTTAGGAAGTAAGAGAGGGTATGTTAAAGGTAGTGAAAAGTGTATGTTAAATCATTCAGGTGTATGTAATATATAACAAAGTCTTTAGAAAGAAAATTGGAAGAAATAACAAAAATCAGTAGAAAAGCCGCTGCCTATAGTTTATACTGTAGTTTACAAAACCTTAGAATGTTGTTTTCTTTGAAATAGGACTTTAATTTAGGCTATATTAAATTTTCAACAGATTGGAAATGTTAAGACAAAAATCTGAGTTCTCTCTTTTTAAAATTTTTTTGTGGAGTGTCATGATGTTTCCACACATGTATATATTGTGTAATGTTTAATTCAGGGTGAATATACCACCTCACATTTGTCATTTCTTTTGTGGTGAAAACATTCAGAATCCTTTTTTATAGCTTATTTGAAATACAGTACATTGTTGTTCTCTATAGTTACCTTTTTATGTAATAAAACATCAGAATTTATTTCTTCTAGGAGTTTTTCACCTTTAATAAAAATGTTATTTGGGCTGGGGATGTGGCTCAAGCGGTAGCGCGCTCGCCTGGCATGCATGCGGCCTGGGTTCGATCCTCAGCACCACATACAAACAAAGATGTTGTGTCCGCCGAAAACTAATAAATAAATAAATATTTAAAAAAAAAAAATGTTATTTGTTTACTTTCTTGTTTTGAAGGGTCTTGGTGCCTTTTAAAAAAATCAGGCTTAAAAGTTGTTATCAATGCTGGAAATTGAATCCAGAGCCTTGTTTATGCTAAGAATGCACTTTACCATAACAACCCAGCCTTGAAAGTTATTCTTGAAGAGAAACAAGTTCACAGAGTATTTCTAAACTTGTTAGTATGAGTATGAATTAATAAAATAGTTTCTCTTCATTAGTAAAAAGTCCCAGATAACAATTAGGGTTACAAATCTCAAGGTATATGTCTCCAATTGGAAACATTTTTTATTTTGATTGATAAAAGGAATATTGTTAAGGTCAGATGTTAAGAGGTTCAGAAAAACATGGCTCCATAGCAGAGTATTAACATCTGAAAACTGTTGTATCCAACAATGGCTGTTTAACTTCACAGACATTCAGTTAGTCTATTGAATCACCGAAATAAAAGAATGTTCCATTTTGGATCTGTTTTTGAAAGATGCATAGTAATTAAAAGTAAAATGGTTGACAGAGATATCCAACAGTTCTAGTTTGACCTTAGGGTTTCAAATGAGTAATTGGTGACTGGATACTTTAATGTGTTATGAAATCCTTTACAAATTTAGTAAGTACCTGTAGATACATATGGCAAATAATAGGTCCCATAGTATCTGTTTTGATGGGTATTTCACAATTGGTTTTAGTTAGAATAGATCATTTTATATGCATTTTTTATTGGTGATCTCCTAAAGGTTAAAAATATTTCAGTATGATCATAGCATATTAGGATTTGCAAGAGTTTTAGATAGAGTTCAACTTCCTCTTTTTACAGGATAGAGACCTGGAGCTTTGAGAAGTTAATTGTAATGCCATTGTCTCATAACAAAGATGAAACTAGTAATAAAGATCTCTGAGTTCTTGTGGTTTCCAGTGTGTTTTTCTTCCGAATATAGGAAGAAAACTAAAAGAAGACTGTATTGCCACTAGTCTTGATAATTCTTATTGTACAACTTTTTCCATGCAAAAATTATATGTATACCAAAAAATATGGAAAAGGGAAAATATCACATTAAAAGGGACATTTTATTTATTTTGGTGTTATTTTTATTGGTTCTTTTTATATTTAACATTAGGATTCATTTTTGACATAATTATAAAAGCATGGAATTTAATTTGCTGTAATTCATTCCCCAGTACTTCTCTCTTCCCTCCTGTCCCCCCCCCTTCCTAAATGGTACATTTTATAAAAGTGCAAGAGGCAGAGCAAACGCCCCTGCGTTTAATCCCTAGCCCTGCCAGAAAGAGAGTTGTATAGTTCAACAGATTCTATAGTGTAGCTGTTTCTCTTCATCGTCACTGTCACTAATTTTGACCATTCTTGGTCTCTGCCTTTAATCTTTCCTTACTATAGTCCAAGATCCAGTTGCTGCCAGTGTCACTTTCCTGCAAAATAAAATTAGTCGTATCTCTTTTCGGAAAATTGTACATTTCCTATAGTTTATGTTATTCAGAATTAATAGTTTGGCTTCTAAAGACATTTGCATTCATATCTTGAAAGTGCAGTGCTTTTATACTTACTGTGAATGCATCCAAACCATATACTTCTGTAGCATATAATTGCTCATATTTTCTATCTTCTTTAGTGTTTAATTTTCTTTGTTCCATTCAAACTAGAATGATATTGCTGTACCATTCCTCCTTTTCCATTTCCCTTACCCTCACAAACTTGGCAAACTCCTGCTCATACTTCAGTACCCAACTGAAATAGCTTTTCTTCTAGAGTATTCATTTAGTGTATTTCTTAGATATGCTTCTATACCTCTGTATTCTTATGTGTGTAATATTACAATAATGACATTAATATCTTTCATGAGTGATTAACTCATTTTTCTGTCTCCAGTGTTTTCTACAGGACTGGCCATGTAACACACTATCAGAAATTATAT